ATGCCCATTATCATTTATAAATCTTTAAGCCATCATTTATGGACATAAAACTCTCCCAACTACCTCATTAATGATAAATTTTCAGACATTAAGTGCTTTACTCAATAAACTCTTGATAAAATCATCAATGTAGGGTTTATCTATCACAAACAACTCTTAATATATCCATTTTATCTAATAGATTCGGACCCATAGCTCTTATGGACAGCAAATCAACTTTACACTCAACCTTATCATAAATCTTCATAAATGGGGGAGAAAAGGAAGAAAAAGGCATGGATTACTTACCTTAGGTGTTTGGGAGCTTCAAATTATCCTCAATGTGATCCAACAATGTGCCCTAGTAGAGCTTTGGTCGAGCTCTTCATTTCCTTATTCCCTAATTTTTCATATAAAAGTGTATATGATAAAGTAGATTTTTAACCATGTGCTGTGGTGCACGCAGCCCTCCATTGTAGCATATGACACATAGAGGTCGTTACATTTGAATTTATCATTGTGCACAGCAGCGGACTGACCAGATGCTGCGCCATATGGCACAAAGGACATTCCTTCACTTTTTCTCCCTTTTTCCTTGCCCGGTGGTCCACCATTGATCCAAACTCACTTTTAAGGCTAAAATTACAATAAATTATACCAATTAGGCCCTTATAATCATACACCTCATTAACTTACTAATCACACTCATTGGGTTGATAAATTAAGATTAAATTTTCTCAAATGTTACAATATGGGTTTACCAATATACTCTTCTCTCTAGGCAAACTCCCGTCAATGATCATGTTATGCATAACTTACACATATTATGCAGTCTAGTCAACAATTCATCTCATATGAATTCACAAATCCTCACTCACATATTCATTACATTCCACATATCAATTTTTACAATGACATGCCATTAAATATAATCATTAATCTTATATATGCATCGTGCTTAGGGTTCTTCATTTTTCCAAAATGATTTCACACATGTAGAACATGCATATTATTTACAACCATTTAACACAACTTTCAAAAATACTAAATTTGCATTAAAGAGTTCAAAATATCAATCATGTTTTCAAAATAACAATTTTAATAAATAAATAATTAATATCCAACTATACAAACTGGATTTTTCTTAGTTACCTCAAACTTTTAAGAGGTCAAAAGTTACTTCTCAAGCACAACTTTCTTTTGAGCTAAATTTAAGCTCACATGTGCTTCGTAAGGTTAGTCTACAATTATATTAACACTCATCACTAATAATCATTTAAATTATCACTTTCAACATTTAATTCCATACTTTAATAACCAAAATTCTTAATTATAAGATCAACCTCACATCCAATACGTTTCTTAACATTTATTAATTTCATTTAGCTCTCAACAACTTAAATAATCATTAATATATTATCTAACAACCCAAAATCATCATCAATGTCACAATTTACTTAGTTTCAACTCTCAAATTTTCAACTCTCAAATTTTAGCACTTTAATCACCAAAAACTCTCAACTATTGAGTTTTATTACCACATTAAGTTTATTAACTCCTATTTGCTTTAACTAATACTAACAAAATCTTTAATTAACATCAATGACAACCACTTGCCTCGACCACTACCATTTATAGTATTTTAGGGCATAATTTCATCCATAATTGAGAGCCCACTCTCATGGATGCATAGAACTATTGTATCTAGGCTTAGATAACTCAAACAATTCACATTAGTCTTATTTAAACTAATGAATTTAGAAATCATCATCTTCCAACCTCAAATCTCACTTCCAAAACATGTAAAGAGAAGAAGAGTAATGAAGCCATACTTAGGTAAAATTAAGCTCCAATCACCTCTAAAATGTCTAAAAGTTGATGCCCTAGCAGAGTAATTACTCTCTCTATCTCCCTCCCTCTGTTTTTGGCCCCCTCTCCTTGTTTGAAACCCTTTTTTCTCATTTAAAAAAATTAATTCTATAATTTATGTTACAATGTAAATTTTTAGTTGTAGCATAATGCATTAGGCCAAAATCTAATTTCTTTTCTTTAAAATTTGAGTCTGGGTGAATTTACTTTTAAACCTTATCTAAACTCTAAAACCAAACCCAATAGTTGCTTCTAACTATTCTTAAATCTATTTATATTTAAATTTATAAATTTACCTTTCATTAACTTAATTAATCAATGAAAAAATTTTTAGGATGTTAAGTGGTTACTATTTCACATGTCCAAATGCAAATAGGGGCATGGGGAAAGAATCAAGCCAAGCATAACGAGACTATTATTGTATAGCTTTATTTTATATCGTATAACGAGTATATAAAAAGTTTATGTTTATAAGCTGCCTAGTAGGAAAATGTCATGCATTTGTATGAGAGGACGTGTGGAGTATCTTAGCCTTAATATTGATATTTGTGATAAATGAGATTAAAGGGTTGGGATATTAGTACAAGTGCATGTTTATATAGGGTTTACTGGGGTAGTTGATTTTGTGTACATGTATAATGTAGCCCTATTTATGAGAAATCAAGGCGTTTGAGTCACCAAATGTGATTTAAAATGCACTTTTGATTATATAACTGATTAATCAAGTGTATAATGATCTATTAGATATGGTTGAGACCTTAAATGTGGATAATGACATATGGTTATAATTTGGGGCACTTGGATGTGAGAAAATGACATTAAGTGGCTACTTGGCATCCGATTGTCCAACTTTCAAATGAAATATATTATTGAAACAAAGCCTATTTTATTGGTTAGATTATCAAATAAACTATGTGTGAGTACTTGAATTACTCTAATTGAATTTCATATGTGAAAATGATATATGTCAGAAATTCACTTCTAGCAAGCTATCACGATAGCATCTGCTGTTATGTGCGTCACAACTTATGGCACAAAACAATAATTTATTTCTCTATGCGACGGCATTTAGGCATAAATGGCCTTTTTGTCTCTAGTTTTCTTATATAATATGATTTTATGATCTTTTTTACTTCCATTGTGCCTATGTACTTATAATTTTGAGTTTAAATGTATTTTTGAAAGGTTTTTGAGATCCTAAATGTTTAAAAAGTTTTTATTTTTCTATATTGTAACCCTTCTTGTTTTTAGCAGGCTTAAGGGTTTAATGATTCTTAATTACTTAGGTGTGATTTGTTTGTGGTAATCAAATGGTAATGTCAAGGTAGACATTACAATGAGACTTTAAGACAATTAAAATTTATTGTGAAAAGACAAAAAATTCCTCATATATATATATATATATAGATATATTTGTTGTGATAGAGGAATTTATTATTGTTAAAATAAAAATTAAACTTGTTTTTCTCTAATGAGGACTTGTTCACTAGATCACAACACTTCCTCTCCACCACCAAGTTAATATTTTGGAGTTGTTAAAATGAAAACAGAGCTTGTTTTTTCCTGAATGAATTTGTTCATCAAATCACAATACTTATTCATTCTATTATGAAGTTAATTTTTTTTTGAAATTATTAATGAGAGAATTGATTATTGTTAAAATTAAAATGAGACTTGCTTTTTCCTGAATGAGAATTATTGTTGAGAGAGAGTGTGTGTGACGGGTAATTTTATCTTTTCGCATCAAATTTAATAACATTTAAGTCCCTTGATCCTATAAAGCAATTTCAAAATGTTTGATCTTTATTTACAATAAATGTTCTTCCAAGGTCCTCCATTATAATTTTTCCTAAATGGAATGTGGTCTGGTAGTTCATAAATTTTCATTTGGGAGAAATTTTTATGTTCAGAGCAATGTTTTTAGAATCGGATCAAATATTAAATCAAAAAGGCTAGCAGTTTATGGTTCATATAGTTCAACTGAATTGGGCCAATAGTCGAACTGGTGATGTAATAATTAAATTTAAAATATATATATATATATAATAATTTAAATATAAGAAATGAATATGAAATTTTTATTTGACTAAAAAATAAAATTAAAAATTTTAAGTTTATTATGACTTAACATGATACTACATACATTAAATGATTAAAAAAAATTAATCATTTTATAAAAAAAATAAAAAAAGTGTATTTTTTGAATAGTTTAACTTTTAAAAATTAAATTTGATTTTCGGTCCAACTATTAGTTTGAAGCGGCCTAATTTGGCCCAATCTCTCAAATGATTTTTTTGACTTAATTAAGCTATTAGCTTGATTGATCGATGGTCGCCAATTTAGTCTGATTTTTTAATTCTTGATTTCACTGACGGTTCGTCACTATAAATTCTTGCAGCTCGTTTGTTCACTCTGTTTCATGGCTTAAATATTTGGAATGACGGTAATGCAAGCTGGTGTAGTGTGAGAGGTCAACTTGAGCAAGGGCGAGTTCGTAATTTGACACTCTCAAATCTCAATCTCGTTTGATTCTGAATCCGTGAGAGTCATTATTGAAGCAAATCTATCACGTTTTACTTCTTCCCAGTCATAATAAGGGTTAAAAAAAGTTTCTTTTTCATATTTTAAAGTAATAAGTGTTATTTTCATATTTAAGAAGACATTAAGTGTGTTGTTTCTTATTTTACCTGCATCCATTAATTTCGAGAGCAATAGAGATATTTAGGGAGGTAAAAGATTGATTTTACAGAAACTTACGTCATGTAATAATTTTTTTTAGATTATATTAAATGTTTCCTATTTGAAAGCTTTCGTCCTCGTAGCGCCTACTTGGCGGGCAGCTGCTCGGTGGAGTTTATCTTTCCCTGGTGGTTGTGCCCGAGGAGCGAGGACCCGTGATGGGTGACCGGCTATAGTCAGTAGCGATCGTGTTCTCACCGGCTAGACCCCGTGTCATAGGAGTAGAATCTGTTTTGTTTAAGGAAATTAATTTTGGTTTGCCAAAATTGTCACAGATATTAGGGACAGTAGACCTATACAAAAGCCACATAGCTTGTGAGGGAGAACGAATCTATGGTGTGCTGCCAGCTATGAACTTGAATAATCGAAGCTTTCCATAAGGGTCAAAGCTGTCAATTTTTCTTACGAACCCTTTTTCTCTTCTCTCTCCTTCCCTCCCTCTGCTCTTTACAACATCCACCCATACTTTCACGAAATCTATACTCATTTATAATTTATAATCCCTCCTTTCTTCCTCCATCTCTCCATCTCCTCACTCCTCTCCATTCTCTCTCTCCGTTTCTCGCACAAACTATGTGCCTGCTTTAGTCTGGGGAGGGAGGCACCAGCGGGGTTCATAGTTTGATGGTTCAGCCTTGAATCACATGCTACAACCCTACCGCATGACGATGGCCGTCGCTGCTACCACCTCTCTCAATGCTTCTGAAAAGAAGCACTGGTGGATCACGAACCGTAAGGTAAGGCCTCGCTCTCTTTTGATTTGTCTGCACGAGTTTTCATCTATCAAATGCTTTTCTGATTCCCACGTTCACATATACTTGCGCGTTTGCCTGTTCAGATTGTTGAGAAATATATCAAAGACGCTCGCAGCCTCATTGCGACCCAAGAACAGAGCGAGATCGCCTCGGCTCTGAACCTCGTGGACGCGGCGCTGGCCATATCTCCACGCCTGGACCAGGCTCTCGAGCTCAGAGCCAGGTCTCTTCTTTATCTCCGGCGTTTCAAGGACGTCGCCGATATGCTTCAGGACTACATTCCCAGCCTCAGAATGGCTGTCGAGGACTCGGGCTCTTGTTCTTCCGATAGTTCGTCGCAGCAGCTCTCGAGGGAGGGAGTCAAGCTGCTGTCGTCTTCAGAGTCGTCGCCGGATCAGAGTTTCAAGTGCTTCTCCGTCTCGGACTTAAAGAAGAAAGTGATGGCAGGACTGTGTAAAAGTGGCGAGAAGGGAGGGCAATGGAGGTAAATCAATTTACTGCCATTATTCTGTTTCATTGGTTTCGCCCCCTCTTCCTGTTTCCATGTCTTACTGATCCATTTTCAAATGGACTTTGTTCATTTCGGGGGTTCAGCTTTTAATGATTCCATTCAAGAATGGGATCGGATCGGTGCGCCCATAAATGCTGGTGCCGCCCATTTTCAATTGGTTACCATCGCCCTACTTTTAAAATAATTATTACATTATTAAATTATTAAATTTAATGCAGCCTTCAAGTCATTTACTGTTGTGATTTTTCTCGTGCATCACCATTGCTGTTCCTCGGCTTGCTTCTTCTTCTTCCAAAGACCTAAATGTTTTTCTTCCCCAAAGAATTTCTTCCCAATACTTGGTTCAAGTTAAATGTTAGGAGACTTCACAAAATTGTGAGATTTCTTGTTTACTCATACACTATTCCATTTTTACGCTAGATGCCTTTATGCTTGTAGAAGTTCATGAATATGAAATAGAATACAGCGAAAGCTTAAATACTATTCGGATTTAGCTTGATTTGTTTCCGCAATGCTAATCACAGATACTTGGTGCTGGGTCAAGCATGTTGTCATCTTGGTCTGATGGAGGATGCGATGGTGCTTCTCCAAACTGGGAAACGACTTGCTAGCGCCGCCTTCCGCCGCGAAAGCGTTTGCTGGTCCGACGACAGCTTCTCTTTAACAAACATCCCCTTCTCCTGTGACGTAACCAACACCGCACCATCCACTCCACCTCGGACACCTCTGACCGAATTCGAGACCGTCACTCAACTCCTCAGTCACATCAAGCTCCTCCTCCGCCGTCGCACTGCGGCACTCGCCGCCCTCGACGCCGGCCTCTATTCTGAGGCCATCCGCCACTTCTCCAAAATCGTCGATGGCCGCCGTGGCGCTCCGCAAGCCTTCCTCGCCGAATGCTATATGCACCGAGCCTCTTCCTACCGTTCCGCAGGCAGAATCGCGGAGTCTATTGCAGATTGTAATCGTACACTGGCTTTGGACCCCACTTGCATTCAAGCTCTTGATACGAGAGCCGCCCTTCTAGAATCCATTCGATGCCTGCCTGATTGCCTTCATGATCTTGAACACTTGAAGCTTTTGTACAACACAATCTTGCGGGATCGCAAGCTTCCTGGCCCTGCTTGGAAGCGTCATAACGTTAGGTACAGAGAGATTCCTGGGAAACTCTGCGCTCTCACGACGAAAATTCAAGAACTGAAGCAAAGGGTGGCTTCAGGGGAGACCGGTAATGTGGATTACTACGCTTTGATTGGACTGCCGCGCGGTTGCTCACGATCGGAGTTGGAGAGGGCTCATTTGTTACTCTGTTTAAGGCACAAACCAGATAAAGCTACCAGCTTTATTGATCGCTGCGAGCTTGCGAACGAACGTGATCTTGAATCGGTGAAGGAGAGATCAAAAATGTCAGCATTGTTATTGTACAGATTGATTCAGAAAGGTTACGCAAGCGTGATGGCTACGATCATGGATGAAGAAGCCGCCAAGAAGCAGAGGAAGAAGGCTGCTGCTGCTGCTGCTGCTTTGCAAGCTGCACAAGCAGCAATACAGGTTCCCGAAAAAAGTGGGTGCAGAACGGAATACGAGGGAAAGAAATCAGAGAAAACAGTTTCTTCGTCGACTGTAAATCCTTCTGTATTCCAGGGGGTGTTTTGCCGTGATCTTGCCGTTGTTGGGAGCTTACTTTCTCAAGTTGGATTCAACCGTTCTATTCCAGTGAAGTATGAGGCGCTAAGCTGCTGATTCAGTTGAAAGTCTTCTAGTATGGTTGTGTTTGTGCAGGCAGTGTGCGAGAGAGAGATTCAATCTTAACATATGCATGTATCATGAATGTACAGACACGAAGCAAGAAATGTTCTCACGATTCACTTGCGCAAAATAGAAAATTTGGGGCCCTTGGAGATATTACAGGCAGAGGATTCTCCTGATTATGCAATCTGGTTCGTCCACTTGATTGTAAAAAATGAAAATTTAGGCTGCTGGAAAATTTTGCCACCTTTCTCTCTTTTATCTCTCCTTTCTTAGTCATCTTTATTTACCACTTGTACAGAATATCAGTACTTAACACTCGCCGTGATGAATATGGCGCTTCTCTTGGCTCCTAAATTTCGCGTTCAGAAGTAATTCAAAATCTGGGATATCTTTCGGGCTTCGGGTGGGAAGATATGGATTCTTTAATGAGGACCAGCGCATGGAAAATGTGGCATTAGTGTTGCAGCCTTGTAGTTGTAGGTGCAGAGGAATAGGTGCTTGGCTTGGCGTTTTCTCTTTGGTTCATTTGTGGGAGCATTCAATTTTTGCCTCGTTAATTAATTTATCCATGAAACTGGCTCTTATGAGTTATGACATTCCATTGGATTCTTCATCCTCTGTTTTCACTTTCAAGTATCATGAACTCGCTGGCAGGGTTGCCTTTTTGAGCTAAAACCAGTGTTATGGTTCTATATCCGGTTCCCGCTAAATGATGATGCAGACTGGACGGTTAAAAAAATACTCTGGGTGTGGGTAAAAGCACAGCGTCGACTTCGGTAACTGAGTCTTCAGGGTGTAGTTGTATGAATGACTTGCAATGAGTTTGTGTGCCTGAGACGAGTTGAGCGTGGCCTGGATGTAGTGGAGAAAACTGATGAAGTCTGCACAGGGAAAAGGGCTTGTCAGGGCCTTTTTCATCACAGGTCTCTCTCTCTCTCTCTCTCTGTGAACAAAAGCACAGCAAAAGGGGGTTTGTAAGCTGCACTCAATACCAGAAAACGAAGTGATTAGAAAGGACATGTCGAATCAACTTTTTCTTTGGCATCATGAGGAAGGGTGTTTTCCCCCGCTAAACCATGTGTTGCCACACCCTACCAATGTGACTTGTGATTAACTAATTTCAAGTTTCAATTTTTTTGTTGACTTTTTGGCCAATAAAAAGTGATTTTAAGATTATCAAATTAAAAAAATTTAGCTGTTCTTCCTTCTGTTTTCAAAGCGGGCGGGGGAAGTCCAATGATACTGAACGGCCTCTCTGAAGCGTAACCGGTGATTTTGATGGAAAGGGTAGGGGGAAAAAACCTGCAAATTACTGCGCTTGTCCCTTGGCAACGAGCATCCAAGTACTGTTGCTATTCGCCAGAAAAAGTTTTGAATGTACCCTCACAAATCAGTTTCTGTACTGCCTTGGATTGTTGGGGGAAGAAAAAAAAAAAAAACCGTGGGCTCCGATATACACACACAGCAGAGCATGACAAATTAACAATGGTTTCAAAGCAAGTGTGGATACTGGATTGTGTCCTTTCCCATGTTTGAAGGTCTCCTTGAGAGTATAGTATAACATATCAAAGTGATAAACCATATTTGAGTGGCCGATAAATGTTACTTAAAGGCACATGTGATATTTAATGCTGAGTTTTAGTGTTTCCATAACCTTTGGCCAGGCATCCGAGATTAGCGATTGTTACTTTCCTTGCAAGTGTGATTTGATGTCCCTTTTCCTTAACAAGCAAAAAGAGAACAAGATTTGATGTCCTTTTCCTGGAAGAGCGCCTCTGAATTTTCCCACCTTACATTCTTTCCCTCCCCATCTTTCACCATTTCTCACAACCAAGTCCCCTTTATGGGTCATCAACTCCAATCATCTAGCCCCACATAATTGGGTTATACATTCGAATAATTCCCTTCGTTTTCAATCAGCTTAACCTCTTCCGGTCTAAGAAAGAGAGAGATGTATCATTTTGCACTTGTTTTATTTACCACTATCCTTAATCATGCCTATTTGGTGATGACACGTTGACATCCCACCTTCGTTGGCAGCTACTCACTACTCAATCCATGGTTTTATTCTGTTTTGGTTGGATTTTTTGTTCTCTTAAATTCATATCTAGATTCGTTGAATTATTGCCTTCGTGTTCGCGTGCCCTTTGCACAGCTACTACTACACCGAGATTTGAATGCCGTGACTATTTTTTTTTTAAAAAAAGAAAATCCATTTAAAAAGAAGAGGCATGTATTATTGTTCGTGCAATAATTTAATCGCGAGATTTGGGATAGCTAATGGAGTTGGAGGAGAAGTTGAAAACATGCTTCGCACATCTCCATCATTCGCGTTATACAAAACCCCTCAAAAACTCTGCCCAAAAGCGTATGGATTATATCACTCATCAGCAAATTGTACATGAATTGTTCCTCTGACACAGTATTATTATCTTATTCGGAGTAGGTCAATATTTAAACTTTGATCTTCGTATTGAAATCATAGTTTAATATCTTTCAGGCGAAAGAAAAGGTGCACGTCACGAGGCTACGAGTTACCTTTTTCCTTTTTAAAATGCTTACTTTATTCTATAGCCAGAGACTTCAGGGCATCTCTGGAACTGGAAGACTATTTCTGTACTTGTTTATAAATGTGAGAATAATGTTAAAGAAAATCCATTGAACGTAGAACAGCCTAGCCTCATGAGCATGACACAAGAGAACTGGCAAGCAAAAGGATAAGCAGGAATAAGAGAGGGAGCTAAAAGAGAAAAACGGCACGTGATGTTTGAATGTTGGGGACATTGGAAAGAGGAGCCGTGGTGGCCACTGGCCAGATATGATGTCAGAGGCACCATGTGATGCTATCATGTGCTTTCTTTAAATCTCTAATGTGCCTCTCCACCTCCTCTGTGATCGATCATGGTGTCTCTTTATACCCCTAATCAAAAATGGTTGGCGTATTGCTGCGTCAATTCTTATTTAATTTAATGCCTTCATTCTAGTTCTGCAATGCGCACAAATGAAAAGGTGCTAAAACAAATATGTTTTCTTCTGACTAGTTTCGGCTTGAACCCGAATGCCGCAGTTAGCAAGAAAGGCCAAAGCGTGGGATTATCTTTTTCTTTTTTTTGTTTTTGAGATCTGAGTCTGAAATTAACAATCTTCTTTTTGAAACCTGTAGCCAGGGAATAACAAATCAAAATTTGCTTCAGTCAGATTCCATTTAGGGAGGATCCATCCAAGATTGGTTAAGAGGCACCAGTTTCAGTACTTGGCAGTGTTACTGAGAGGGGAATGTGTATGGGCTAAGGCTAGGACGAAAATCATAATTGAACCATCTAATGAAAGGGGGGTTTATTTTCAAAGTTTCTCGTGCCTGAACCCTTAAAAGGGTTTAAAAAAAAAAAAAGGTCGTGACGAGTGTGTCCTTGAAAGTTGAAATGGAAGATTGGGTTGGTGGTTGCTGGCATTTCCTCGTCAAAATTATTGGAGAAAATTTGAAAGTGAAAACAATGCGAATAACACAATGATAGGCTTGTTATCAAACTCGAACACATTGGAGTTGAAAGATGATAAACATTTACTATATTATCTGCATTTAGGATTTTTGGAGCGAGTAGCATGGGTGGTTGAATCTTTAGGGGGCATCGGGTTGGGAAGGAAACTGGATGCTATCACTGTGTGTTAAATTCAACTAGAAAAGTGGTGACTGATGGAAGGAGCCATAATTCATGGGAAAATCACTCCAACGTCCAACACAACAATTGCAATTACCTTAGAATCTCATTAATTGCACAAATGCCTATAAGGTCCAAGAGACTTTGCTATGATATGTGAAATGATGAAAAAGCCCATTGGAGTTTTTTGGAATCAATTCTAGCATCTCATTTGATTCTTCATTTTTCACATCTCACAAACCCTCGTTTCACTCCAATAAAATCAAACCCATCTCATAAATCACATGAACATAAATGTACTTAAATTTTGTTTAGCTAAAAAAAAAAACAAAGCGTAATTTCAACATATGAAAAATCAAATGCAGGACATATGGCCTGGTGTTTGTAATTCTAATAGCTGCTAGAGTCAGCGATCAAAACAACCTACCTCTAGAATTGGCAGCAAAATTTACCATTGGAAACACTTCAAAGACGGGTGAATCTCAAGCTACCCACTTCATTTCTTTATTTCGATCTTTTTGTAATTCCGCTCTTCTGTAAATATGCCCAGTTCAAATTTTGCATTTGTAATTTCTAGTGAGGTTTGATCTGTCCTTGATCAATAAACACGTGTAAGAAAACCAAAGAATCTTGCCATTCATCATTTCTTTGTTCTCAAAGTTAGGTTTTTCTTTTTGGCTAAACAAAATTCATGTTAATGTTCATATAATTTATGAGATGGGTTTGATTTGATTGGAGTGAAACAAGGATTTGTGATGCAAGAATGAAGAATCAAATGCGGGAGATGATCCCAGGCACTTCCAATGGCCTATTGTCTCATTTTATATAAAAATTTAATTACAACTAAGTCCCTAAAAACCTCAAGGGCATTTGTGCAGTTGGTAGGATTTTGGGATAATCATAATTGTTGTCGAGGTTTTAGAGTGATTTTCCCATAATTCATTGTACGACACCAATAGGATCTTAGCCCTGTGATAACGTACGCTTCCTAATGGTGCCATCTGGCTTTCATCTGCAGAGCTGGCAGGACCAAAGGGCTGCAGATTTTTTTTTTTGGGGGGGGGGGTTGCTGGAGCCTAATAGTCGGAGTCCAAAAAGGAAAAGATCGTCATGTACTAAAAAAAAATAAAGACAAAGGCGCAAATCCAGCCTCAAATTATTTTTTTAAGAATATATGATAGTTTAAATTATTAAATGGTGTAAAATAAATTATAAATTTTTAAAAAGAAAATATCCAATAACCTGTCATTAATTTTAACTAACGGACGTTATGTGAACTTACAATGACATATGGCACGATTCGTGCATGACGCGTCAGCATAATAAAGGTGTAAATTTAATCATAAATTTTGAGGAGCATTTGATAGTCTCTATTATAAAAAAAATGGAGCACCCAATACCTTCCCCTCAATTTTGACCAAACATAATTTATTGTCATACTTATGAAGCTCACAAAGCATTAATCTCTTCATTTTCTTGCCTTCGTTCTCAATCTCAACTCGAGAAGAAGAGATTTAAAGAGTTTTTATCTAAAGATATTCACAAAGACGACGCTAACAAAGTAGAAAAAATAGTTCATGACTAAATTAAGCTAAAATAAAGTTTTTCACATGCATTGTAAAATCAAGCTTTTACTTTTGGATATCGTTCTTGTAAATATCTTCAGATAAAAACCCATTGAATCTCTTCTTTTGGAGCTTATATTGAGAACAAATGCAAGAAGATTGAAAAAATTAATGCTTTGTGAATTTCATAAATATGAAAATAAATAATGTTTGATCAAAATTGAGAGAAAGGTGTTGGATGATCTATTTTTTTTAAATAATAGAGACTACTCAACTCTCCTTAAAAAATAATTTGCGACTAAATTTACCCTTTTACTATACTGATGTGTCATGCCTGTATCGTACTACATGTCATTGTAAATCCCACATAATATCCGTCAGCTGAAATTAACAGAGTTACTGAATATTTCATTTTTGAAAATTCATGATTTATTTTACGTCACCTAATAGTTTAAACTATCAAATACTCCTGAAAAAATAATTTATGACTAAATTTGTTATTTTATCCAAAAAAATAAAGGAGCTGGACGCGATTAATAGTTTCTTTATTAAGGGTAAAGATCGGACACTTCAAATTACCTCTAACCAGGTAAAGAACCTCTAAAACATTACATGAAATTTGAAAAATAAATTGCAATGTTCAACAAACTCATTTACAATCAACCGCGGCTCGGTCAGAGATGTCAACGGAACCTCTATTTAAATCAACAGATTCAACCCTAATATATTAGTGATTTAGAATTTCACCGATATGGCAGCAATCTAAAACAGTTTGGAACGACTCCAACGTGGGAAGGCGTGTGCTTCAACAATTGAAACAAGCTTCCTTGATGATGACAAGCATAAAAAGGGAAGGTCACTTGTTCTTCGAGGAAGACAAGACGCCTTTTTTCCTTTTCTTGTTCGGGTTAGAGCGGTTTCGTGTTTCACTGCACTCGGAACAGAACCAATCCTCCTCCGGAACATCTTTCAGAGGAGGATCGCAGCAATCAATATGGACGCCAACTCCACAACCAACGGAACCACTTTCATCACCACAAATCAGCATCACGTCTCCTCTATCTCGGGACCCACATACCTGGCAAGCTGTGTCATTATCATCATCAATTTCTGGAGGATTCTCGATGACTTCTTCCGCCTTCCTTCGAAGGTTAGCAAATGACCTCTCTGCCCAAGCATGAGTCCCGTATAGTACATGTTTCTCGAGGGAGAATCCGGGCTTGCACACAAACTCCACCAAGTAGTCAGCCAAAACACAGGGTATCTCATGTTTTAAGAACTCTTGGACCCACATATCAACACGCGGCATGCCTGGGCTAACTACGGCATAGTCAACACCACTATCAAGGAACCGGGTGTAAGGAGGAGAAGTTGCTAATATAGTTCCATCACCTGCATTGACTACACGCTTCAGTGTATCCTGTTTATATATTATCAAATTAGATGATAAGCATACGTCAAATTAAACAATCAAGTACAGATACAAGGATGGAAACCTGCTATTTTAAATTATTTTTGTGTAAAGGGAAATATAAAATTTGCCTAATATTCAGGCTAGTCCTCATCCTGGGATCATTTGAGATGGAAGACGCGGCCAGCAATAACGGCAAGTAAGAAAAAGAATATCTCGACAAACTAAATCTCAAGCAAACCTACCAAAGGCGGGGCAATGCAATCGCCATATACAATAGTGCGCATCCCATATAAGACGCCATGACCTGTCTTCTCTTTCAAAAGCCTCCATCTTCTTGGAGCCTCCAAATTGATTGCACCATCCTCACTAAGGCCACTCTTGTGCCATTCATAAGGTTCTTCATTCAAGAATTTACCGGCCTGACTACAGGCAGTTAAGTAATCAGTTTTAAGAATCCACCTGCATTCCAGTCAAAATAAATTAGAATACATGAATTCATTCACTTAGGAACATAAATGAGAGACAGAAAACATAATGTTGCCGTTCTCTCAAGCATAAAATTTTTTAATCATTAAAAAACTGATTAAGTATGAGTACGAACACAAATTTGATTTAAATTCAAAATATCCAGATCTTACTTGAAGCGTCCTGTTAAGTTTGTGTCATACAAAGACCGACCTTTTCAAATGGCAAGGCCAAACAAGATTGAATGCAGGCCGCCCTATGACAATATTCCTTTCCAAAGAGAAATCATGCAGTTCGACTCAAACACAGCCAGAATTTCCATACCTTCCTGATGCAGCAGCAGCAAAAAATTTCTCTGTCCTGCGTATAGGATCTGGGGCTATGAAGTGTGTTGCCTGATATGACCACTGATGAGAATCCCGGCAGACCCTTCCTTTTAATCGCCTAATCATTTGTTGAAACTCCTTTCTCTGTAAGCGATGCCCGCTTACTATAAAACATGCAGCTTCTCCCTTCACTCCTTCGTTGTCTTCTGATATAGATGAATTAAGAGCCCTTTTCTGAGTTCTTTTATCGGTCTTTGCTTGACCCGCACAAATTTTAACGTCGAAATTTCCAATGTTTATACACTCTCCATTGCCCTCTCCATCAATTGGTCTGTTTTCCTTCTCAACTTCCTGAAAACTCTCTGAATTATTTGTCAGTACAGCAGAGCTGCTATTTTTACCAACAGGAAATAACTCTGCATCCATGGTTTCCATATTTGTCTCATCTTTCCTCTGACTGGATGCAGCCTCCTTAGGCCTCGTTACGTCCTTGGTAAATGCGGCTTTCTTGATTCCACCTTCAGTAAGTTTTCTCCCTTCAGGCTTTCCTTTTATTTTAGAGGTTGAGTCAACCGACTCCAGTACCACTGGTTTAGTTCCATTTGTACCTACCTTTGGAGGCTGTGTTTTAGATTTTGATACATGTTGACTTGCTTCCAACTTCTCTTCTGTCTGGGTAACAGCTTTTTTCAAAAGATTAACTGATTCACGATTGTCTTCATCAACTGCCAGTCCCTTGCACTCAGATTTGTCATCCGGAGCCTCTGTTTCTTCATCCTGAAGTTCTCTGCCATTGGCAATTTCTGCTGATTTACAGACAATCTCCTGCTCCACTGACGTTTCAACACTAACAATTTTAGAGGGTTTATGAAGCTTCTTGCCATCAAAAACTGTCGTCTCTTTCCATCCACTTAAACAACTTGCACCATCAGCTTGAGGGTCACTTTCATTTAATGAAATCAAACCCTTCTTTTTAGCAGTAGCACCTGATTTAGGTCTAGAACCCAAAGATTTCTTGGCAACTGTCTTCTTGCGAGGTGATTTTCTAATCAACTTATCACCTACTCTGCTGCATAAATCCATGGTAGCATGACCGGTTGATTCCTCATTTCTAGGCTTCTTTTTACTTGAAGATGAGCGCTCAAGATCGTTCTTGGCATTATGAGGCTCTGTTTCACTACCATCTTGAGCAACTTTTTCACTGCCAGAACCAGCAATATCAGGCTTGCCATTAATTTTAGGTGTATCATCATCTGGCGGAGACTTTGAGCTCACAGTTTCTGGGCTCTTTATATGATCTTTGCCCACAGGAAAATGGTGTTCTATCTCTGGTAGTTTATCGCAATCTGCTAATGGGGATCTTTCAACTGAAAGTTTAGCACCTGCTGTCGTCTTCGATTTAAATTTAGTAGTAGCTTCAATCACCATCTTTTTAGGAGATAAACTAACTGGCCCCTTCTTGTTACTAAAATCATTTCCTTTTCTAAAACCCTCAACAAAGGTGCAGTTAATGCTGCCACTTTCCTTTTTCTCCTTGCTCAAAGAGGCTTCTAGGTCATTTCTTAATTTCAAATTATTTGAAGGTGATGCAGAAGGACCACTTAAATTGCCAATGTTTTCATTCAAGCCACTTGGAGGAGAGAATCTCTTCAAGTTTTTCCTAGAGTTACTCGCAGCACTGCCCTTTGCATCTGAATGTGCATGTCCCTCAACACTTTCAGATGTCAATCTCAAGTCATTAACCAACTTCCCATACTCAGTAGTACCGGCTTGAAGATGAAGATCAGGGAGAAAACCAGATGAATCAGCATTTCCAGGAATGCCAAGATTCTGGCAGTCAACTGCGTCTGGAGCGCAAGTGTTTTTAGGTTTAGTGGTCTTGGCACATGTGTCAGGCAGCTGACCAGAAGCATCATACCTAGAAATGCCAGCTTCCCCAGAACTTGATTTTAGTACATCATGATGGATGTTTCTGATTTGATCAGATCTATTCTCATTTTTGAGAATTAATAATGACTCATGCCCCTCACTTGCTTTCAGAAATCCATCAGAAGCACCTGTAGCAGTATTCATTTTTGAACTAAAGGGACTCCTAGCTATATCTCTTTCCCCAGATTTCCCTGGCACGAGATCTTCAGCTTCTTCTTCGGAGTCTTTAGCTTCCTCTGCCATCATCTCTAGTTCATAACCGCTGGTTGAGAACAAATAGAAGTTGAGTTACAAGAAAATTTTATTCGTGAGCCACAAGTGAAACTTATGACTAAATCATAGTGAATAATTTAAGTTGGTCAGCTTAAACCGTGTCTTTCATGAATCCCCTACAATTTGCAAAATTGCAGTGAACATAGCAGATGTCTATGCAGTATGCCACCAGAGCAAACAAACCCAGGTGCATAGTGCGTTATGCATTGACTTTAAGGTGTCAGATAAAGCAACACTGGTCCTTTATTCCACCTTCATGTAATGAAGCCAAGTTTTCTAGATTAAGTTATTTTTCAAAACCAATATCAGGTCCAGTCGATAACTTAAAATGAGATTGTTGACGATAGTCATATACACACCGAGATTACATAAAAAACATGCAAGGAGAAATCAATCTGGAAAAAAAAAAAATAAACGCACACACACACATGAATATTTGCTTCCATGCAGTCTCCATGAACAAGATAAAAGAGACATGTTAATGCTTTACATGCAACAAGACATTATGACAACTACTTAGATGATAAGAAGGCTCACCTCTTCTTATATTTTTCTTCAGGGAGGAGTGCCCAATCCTTCAAACTGGAGGGATAAAAAATCAGAGATTTGCATTAAATAACTCCAAATTTTGAAATAGATGGCATGTTATATGTCTAATAACACGAGCAACAAAGGAAAAGTAAATAAATACCAGTCTTCCAACCATCGATGGTTAACTAACTTAATTGTCTTCAGTCTGCTGGCAAGCTCATACTTTTCTCCTACTCACAAGATATTTTGCAATAGAAAGTGTTAAAGATGAGTAAACTGGAAAATTAAAAAGCACTTTAAAAAGTCAGGAGAAGCATTAAAATCTAGAAATATTCTTGAACGTGAATCATCTGTTTTAGCAATTGCATCAGTGAACCTAATAACATGTACACTCTTGGACGCACATGTCAGATATGTTCAGATTAAAGTATGTAGCAAACCTTCAAATTTGTAGCATATAAGATGAGTAACTTTGCTCGCCACCAATGGCTTAGAAAATTCAGCACCCATCAAGCCAACCATTGTCTGAAGAGGGAAAAATAGGGTCAGGCCCTAATTGTTACAAAGCAATTTTCTGCACAAGCAAGTATAAGAGACTCTTACCATAATGTCATCCCGATCCTGACGTTGATAACCAGTCAAGCAAACAACCAAATTCTTAGCACCTGGTATACCATTTAAATCTTTCATGGGTCTGTACATGACCTGTACAGAAAATATAGGCTTATAACAGTGTCCAAACATTCCTAAGATGATAATACAAGAAAAACTTGCAAGAATAACGAAATAGTAAATGGTTCTCCATTAATAATATGACATGTGTATAGTTGGATAAGCACACAAGCAGAAACCAGGCGCATGCCATGCTATAATTAGAAAACAATGCACTCGTGTCGGCAAAAAGTCCTCTAGATGACAAGTAAATTTTAACCAAGTTATGGGCCAAGAATGTATACAGCTTAAATGAAAGCTTTATACAAGAGAAAATAATTCACAGTTGTAAATGAATATAATGAAAAGAAAGATGAACTAAAACCAGACCATACAGGCATATACCGCAGCACAAAAGCAATTACAAAGATTATCTTCGCTTAAAAATCACAATCACAACTAATAGAAACATACTAATTATTAAATATAAGGGCTTTTACTGGTCCACTTGAACTCAATTCTTGCAATGAACTGAGCCATGGGACACGTATGAAGCTAACATATTATATTCCAAACGAATCCAAATTTCTCAATAAGGAATTGGGGGCAAAAAAAGAAAAAAAAAGACAAAGACAAAGAAAGAAAGAAAGATTTAGAGAACTACAGACATACGGAGGCTGCATCAACTGGCATTCCAATATCGACACTATGATCAACCCACAAAGCAGTGACAAGTGTTTTCCCATCATTTCTTGCAGCAACGCAAACAGGATCATCCTGCATAATACATCATAAAGCAAGGACTGTGAAGTCTAATTTGTTCAGGTAAATTAAATACACAATCCAAAACTCTTGTCTTCGATATCTAAATGCCATTGGAAGGCAAAAACGGATTTTCTGCACACCAGAGAAAAAAATCAAAAAAACTCCGCCACCGCATGGATGGTTGAGATTGCAAGCAGTAAAGTGCTGATTCTAGAGAAACCGGAGTGAAATAGAAGGGGCAGTATATGGTAAACCCATATGCTCAGATGTAAGAGGAAACAAAGATTGTGACTTACATATGTAAGTTTGCCCACAACGACATGTGTGCAACTTGGACTGTACTGACCAACATCAACCCCACCGCCGTTTACAAGCTTGAATCGGACCTACAAAATAGCATTGAATCAATAAAAAAACGGAGAGACATGATAACTAACCTTATTTTTGACAAACGATCTCCCAGATTGGCCTCGATACGAGAGAAGCCAGTAGCAGAATCAGATAGAATAATACAGAAGGAAATGGAAGAGCATGAAACCTTGCTTTCGTTGATAGGATCAAAACCATGGAGAACGAAACGAATATTGAAAAACACTTGCGATGGAATACTTGTTTCCAACATTTCCCCGGGGGAGTGGGGGCAGAATTAGAGGTTCAATTCGAGGTGGGGAGACAAAGGATGAGTGAGTTCTGATCTTCAGTCTTCCCTTCTGTTCAGCCCCCAAAAAACATTTTCGCTTGTGCGAGGGAAAAATTTCCTCCATTTTGTCTTTTTGATTTTGGTGCCTCTGGCGCGCTTAGGGCTATTACACGTGGAACTCACTGGCCCAATCGTAGGATCCATATAACAACCCGACCCAGGCCCATTTGTCCTATGGGCTCAACGATTTCTTTCCGCCAAGGCATCCTAGGGCTTGTTTTGGGAATCCGTTGTTCGAGTTGATCTGTAGAAGCTTCCATTTTCCAAATTCGACCCGATAAATAAAAACAAACACCGGTCAATGTAAGCGCCGGGAGTAGTTGGTGCACCCACCCGCGTTGAAGCACAATTTAATCTGTGGTCGACTAGAGATTAGAGAACAGGAGAGGAAGAGTTTGCCCGTCGGCGTTTGAGATGGCTTGGCTCACTCGATTCTTGGCGGCTGTGGCTTTCTTAGCCATCGGAGTTATATTCTCTCCTGAAATCTTCGGATCAAAATCGGATTCTTCCAATTCAATCAAACTATCAACCTACCTCAAATTGGCGCATCTCCTCAGCTTCTCCACTGCTTTCGGTGCCGCTCTATGGGTCACCTTTATCGGTGGAATTATTATGTTCAAGTACGCATTCATTTTTTCGCCGTTTGATCACCTGCTCACATTTACATTTTTGCCTCAGGACCCAGATTATTCGCTGAACCTCCCGGGCATGCTTGAATACTGAAAAAACTTACAAATCTCCTTGATCATTGATAATGCTATATTAGCCCTACAAGTTCTGTCTTGCCAAGCTTTTGCCTGCCAAGTTTCTTGATTTGAAAATGATGTGGTCACTTTTATAATTCATGATGACTTTAACAGGAATCTCCCGAGGCATCAATTTGGTAACCTGCAAAGCAAGATGTTTCCGGCATATTTCTCTACGGTCGGTATCTGTTGTGCGATATCGGTGGCGTCGTTTGGGTATCTACATCCTTGGAAATCTTCGTCCACTGCGGAAAGATACCAACTTGGCTTCTTGCTTTCGTCATTCGCATTTAACCTTGCTAATTTGTTTGTCTTTACACCGATGACCATCGAGGTGATATTCGTGATTTACCAATTGTTAATGAACAAATAATCAATTCTTAGGTTATATTTAAAATGTTTTATATGGTTATTAATTATCATGTCTTCCCCGTCTGTGAAATAGTTTGAATAGTTACCCCTCTCGTCCCTAAAAAAATTAGGATATTTTTTGTCATTTTACGTTCGATCATGTCTTTTATATCCTTTCTCAATTGGCCTTGCATAATTGGAGTGATGCAATCCCCTTTAAGAAGTATTTGCTTGGAAAGGATGGTTTGAGAGTGATGTGGAGTGGACCAATGTGACTGGCCTGAACAAAAAAAATGATGAACTAGCCATGGTTTTGATTCTGGCCAAAAAAAACTCGTCAAAAATAATAAAAACAGCCCAGTTTGGTACCAAACCAGTAGCTCCTTTCTGAAGCAGAAGTCGTGGTGCTGTGCAATAGAAATTTTTAGAATGTGATAGAGCTACTAAGTTGCTAAGACCTATAGGAGCAAATTACAAAGAAAATGATAGAAGAGGACAAAACAAAAACTGCTGGGTCAAAAGATTACACTATGGGTCCTGGCCAAAAGGGAAAAGAAGTGACATAGGAGTAGGCAGTAGGGGCAGCTAATGGTAGGGAAGTGATTTTGTAACTTGTTGGGTTTTATGTTCTCTAATTCAGCCGAGAGATGGAGTTCAATCTTTTGGAAAGTGAAGTGAGTTTGGGAGAGTGCTAGCCTCTCGAAAGTCTAGTCTCTTGGGGTGGAGGAAGATCTTCTTGCTTCATCATTTTCTCTTTATGTTTTATTGTGTGTTAGTGAGTGGCTTATGTTCTAGGTTATTGTTCTGAGGTGTGTATTTTGTACTGATCCTTGCAATCTATAACTTTATTCTGCGTGTATGAGGGAGTTGGGATTAGCTTGAATCATATCTTCCTTGCAATCCTTTTGTTATTCAGCAGTAGTTTTTTCAGTCATTTCTACTGTATTTTCTGGTTTTTTTTTGTGTGTGTGCTTGTTTTAAGCTTATTAGGATAGAGGGTTCTATCATTTGGTATCAAAGCAATAGAATTCTAGGAGGAGATGACAATGTCTTTGGATGAACATGCAATATTGATGATGAAGGAGTTGCTGGAGAAGTGTAGTAGACATTTAGATGGCATGACAAACACCTTGAAAGTTTGCAAAGAAAAAGGAAGAATGGAGGAAGAGTTAAGAAAAGAGAACAAAGAAAAGATGCACAACAAAGCAAAGAAGTCAGGGTCGAAAATAGAAGGACATTGGACCAAAGAGAAAAGAAGACAAGGAGAAACGAACAAAGCTGGAAACAGAGGGAGGAATGCAACCAAAAGAGCTTGGAGCCGAAGATGGATCTAAAGCAAGTGATTTTGTAGGTGCAGAAGTGGAGAAGGAAGGAACAACCGAGATAGAAGCAGAGAAAGAGTTTAAGGCTGAACAACAATTAAAGTTGCGACGTTTTTCATAAGAGGAGAAGCTTGAAGAAGTTTTCAGTAACCACTCAAAAGAAGAGATGAGGGCTGAAGCTTTTCAATTTCTAAAAACTTTCAAAATATATCCAAGTAGTCTCACAAGAGTTCAACAAATATATGGTGCTATAGCAGAAGCAATTGAGGAGATGAAGCGAAGCTGTGATGTTGAAGAATGTTGGGCAAAATGCTGGAGATTTGAAAAAGAACAAAGAAACTAGTTGAAGGCGGAGGATGTTGACAGCAAAGTTTTGAAGTGAGATTGGAGGGTGGACAGGGTTAAGCTTTCCAGATTTGGAAGAAGCCCTATTGGTGAGAAAATAAAAGTTGATGGACCTGATTGCAACATAAGTGAGGCCCAAACCCGAATTAGTTGGGGAAGAAGCCCTAAATTTGATGAGAAAATAAAAACTTATGGGCCTGTTAACAACACACGTAAGGCCCAAATTTGAGCCCAATTTGTGTGATCCTTTCTGCCGCTAAACAGAAAACGCAAAGGGAGAAAGCGGTTCCTAGTGTTGTTCCCCTTGAACGCACAAGTTCTGGAGCATGTTGCAACACATCGACCATCAATGACAGGGAGGGTCTTGATCTCATTTGCTTTGACGTTGACCGAACCAAAAAAGCCCTTCTCATCTTCAAAAATGTCGATGTCAACAGCATTGAGAGTAGCACAAGCGAACTCTAATACAAAGGGGGGAGACTATGAATCAGAGGCAGGTTGTTTTTCTGATGAAGAAGCGATAGAGCTCTCTACAATTTCATCTTTTCTTCCTTCAATCATCTCACAAATGGCGGGCAAGGTTGGTGCTGTGTGTATGTTAATTGGGAGCCTTTTTTGTTGAGTTCTCTGTCACCATTATCAAATCAGTTTGAGTTTCTTTCCTGGTTCTTCATCCATAAAAATCGGAGAAGAGAGAGGATGGAATTTCTCGGCCAAAGAAGAACGCTTGTGACTAAGGACGGGCCTTCTTCCTATGTGCAGTTGACGAACCCTTTGCTTCTACCAACATCAATTCATCTAGAAGAGGTGGGATTAATAATTCTAATGGGATGGATACTCCAATATATGCAATTCACATTGGGCCTAATCCAGAAGGAGCCAATAAAATATTCTTATCCAGGGGTGCTAAGAATAGAGAAGATTACTGGGTAGTGTTTTCAACTCAGATCATGAGAGCTTGTGAATTTCAGTCAACATTTATTACCAGCATTGATGTTTACCATTATTGGGCAGGTAAGAAAACATCTCTTGGAATCCCATTCTCTTCCATATTTTCAATCATGAAGAGGTTTGCGGGATGCATTCAGGTGCCTCTAGCTATGCCCTATAGCAATTGCGGAATCAATCAACTTGTTGCTTGGATCCAATTAGTCTAAGGCAAAAAAATTCCAATCATTCCTTTGATAACGGGATATGCAATGGTGCAATTTCATTTTCCCAATATTAGCTCAAGTGTTTTAAGTGGACCTTGAAATTAGTAAACTAGAATGTTCATGTCATGACTGTTATAGTTGATAACAGTTCCTTCAGGGCTTCAATTATCAGCACAGAATTGATCATGTGTGACAACTTTTGGATGGGGCATTCCAAGGTGGATGGAGATATCACTTTGTTATTTGGAAAAGTTTGTCTTAACCTCTAAGATGCTGTGTTTAAATTCTTTATGCTCAACACAGACAAATACTTAGCATATAGCGAGATTTCAGTGGAGGTGCAAGAAACTATATCTACACAAATGGAAAAGGCAGAACTGTGTTTGAGTTATTTGAATGCTTGGGGTGAGGATCTCCCTAATTATGGAATGCACTTACATATATGGAATGATACAAGGAATGCAATTGTCTTGGGTTATTGTAGGGGTCTGAAAACAATGCTGATGTTGAAGACCTCAAGTTGTTGAGAATCACAATTTGGCATGGGAATTTCAATATTCAAAAGAAGCCACCATATTCCACCTCTAGTTCACACCTTGAGGATAAGGTGAAACTTCAAGGGAAGGGTAATGATAGAGTTGCTAAGTTGCTAAGACCTATAGGGGCAAATTACAAAGAAAATGATAGAAGAGGGCAAAACAAAAACTGTTGGGTCAAAAGATTACACTATGGGTCCTGGCCAAAAGGGAAAAGAAGTGACATAGGAGTAGGCAGTAGGGGCAGTGATTTTGTCACTTTTTGGGTTTCAAGTTCTTCAATTCTGCTGAGAGAGGGAGTTCAATCTTTTGGAAAGTGAAGTGAGTTTGGAAGAGTGCTAGCCTCTCAAAACTCTAGCGTACTGTGGTGGAGGAAGATCTTCTTGCTTCATCATTTTCTCTTTATGTTTTAGTGTGTTAGTGAGTGGCTTATGTTCTAGGTTATTGTTCTGTGGGGTGTGTTTTGTACTGATCCTTGCACTCTATAACTTTATTCTGCGTGTATGAGGGAGTTGGGGTTAGCTTGAATCATAATCTTCCTTGTAATTCCTTTTTATCATTCAGCAATAGTATTTTCAGTCATTTTTACTATATTTTCTGGTTTTTTTTTGGCTTGTTTTAAGCTGATTATGATAGAGGGTTTTTTCAGAATGTTTAATCAATTGACTCTATTCAACCCATTTCATATAAATTTGTTGTCATGTAAAATATTTGTCTGATTATCTGCCTCATGGCTTTATATGATGAGGGCATTACGCTGAAGACTAAAGTCATTGTCTGAACAAGTAATTTGTCCTTACAATGTATAGTGAAATCAATTTTACAGTTAAAAAAGAGAGAGAAAATCATGTCTCAGTCTCGCATCTTCAACAATTCATTCATTAGTTAAAATTTTAGATGGTTAAATCGTGATCAGATTATGTTGGCCACCATACAGAAAACCAAAAAGAAGAAAAAGACAAAAGAAAAAAAAATCCTGATCAGATTATTGATAGAACCCTGCTGAAATAACAGAACATAACACCAGAAAAAAGACAACAGATGGAAATAATGAGGGAAAATACTGAGGTTTCTACTATTTAAATGTGCTGGAAAACAGAATCAGTGTTATAAGAGTCCACTGATTCTATTGAAACCCTATTCCTCTGTTACAATGGCAACTAAAAATCAACAAAGCCACAGTACATAAATCACAAGAACAATACACAGCCACTGCGTTTGAGAGGCCAGACTCTCCTTACTACACTCAAAATACAAAATAATCCATAGAATTCCTCCTTGCAGGCGAAAGACATTAAGGACTCCAAAAAGTGGCTTACACATCCCCCAACATAGGTTATACCTCTAGGTAGCCCCCAAAACCATAAGTGATCTAGCATTACTTTTCCTTGTCATCAGGATCCATGGGATAAACACTTGAACCAGTGGTGAATTCTTTTTCTGCCCTCTTGGTCTCCCTTGATTTCCTCATATAGGTTAGGTTTTAATAAAGTTGTCAGCTCTATCAATTATCAAATTTTATTAACTTGTCATTCTGATTATTTCTATGATTTGTGATTTTATCAATGGACCAAGCTTGAAAAATATCCCTATTAGCTATTATTACTAGCTAAACATATGTCAGAAGGTTGAATGTTTTGATTTTGTAAGTTTAATTGAAGGCCACCTAAATTATTGTATACTACAATACAATTTTTGTCCTTTTAACCAGAGATGGCTCTGGACTTAGATGAAATAGCACTGTGCATTCATGCATACTATCAATCATCCCAAACATGTATACTGTGAAGCTGCCATCATTTATGAGTGTGTAATGTATTTTTCTCACAGAATTTTAATTGTTGTGACACAGTTGATGAGGCAGAGGCATAAAGTGGAGAGAGAAAATAACATTGGAGAAGAAATTGGTTGGTCAAAAAATGTTGAAGTGGCAAAGAAGAATCCAAAGCTTGCAGCTATGAATAAAAAGTTTGGAATGATTCATGGATTATCTTCCCTTGCTAATATCATGTCCTTTGGCGGCCTTGCTATGCACTCTTGGTACTTGGCAGGTAAAATGGATCTCTGATCCAGCTTCTGCTTCCCTTTCTGTGGAGGATTGTCGAGCTCATAGCTTGTTGTTTTGACTACAACACGATCCCAGAGCCACTGTTCATGAGTCAGCTGCTGCTTGTTTCTGGCCTATAAGGATGAAAAAAAATTATATTTATAATATTTATATAATGTGTGAAAATATACTGTGGGAAGTATTACAGCCTATAGCGCATTGCTTGTTAGATATTTCTGTTCTCTGAGAGAACATTGTGGCGTTCGACAGAAACACTGGAATTATTCGTCTTCACAGGGAAATAAGCAAGTTTTTATACCATCCTGAAAGCAAAAAGAATAAAAGGGTTCCCCAAAAGGTCTCTTCTTACCACATCTCATGAGAAGGTGGAATATCTTGTTACGGTAGGACTTAAGGCGTAGATCTAGGTTCTCACGTCTGAAGGATGCGTAAGTGAATAGCAAACGACAATGTCGAGGTTTTTATTCATGGTTTCTCCGACCTTGTCCTTGAAAAAGACACTTTACTTTTCTTTTTCTTTTTCTTTTTCCTTTTTAATTATGAACGTCGAGGTTGATTGCTGAGGGTTTTGTGCAAACCTGAACGCTGTACACGGTAGCAACGCTGTACGCGGTAGCAACTCTGGTGGCCCGACTCTTGGATAACTGTGATTTCTTGTTGAGTATCTTTGCGCAACATTTTAGGCAAGCCCTCTCTGGTGATAGTTTCTTTCAGACTTCTGTTGTGCGATCCTTGCACTATTCCATGTAACAACGTCGAGAGGGTTTAGGGATTTTAAAATGGTCATGACATGCAACTATCCTTGGTTTTTATGATTTAAGATATATTAACAACAGGGCAAAGTGAGGGTGATAGGTACTGCCAATTGCTGAATGCGGGGCTCCATGTCCATCATATCTTGGGAATCATTAATCGTCTGCATGTTTCCTTGGTGACCTTTCTTGCTGGCGGTTGCGCCGACCTACGGCCCCAGTTGTTGAATATGATACTACACGTGGCATGACCAATTTGATCATGGCGTGTTGAAATCCATTCCGCGTACGTGTCCTCCTGTAGCGCTTATCCATTGCTATTTATATTGGTTTAAATATGCTAAAATCTGGCATCGATGATGGATTTTGTTGGTATTCTTTTCCGAAAGGGTTTTTGAACCTCCAAGCAAAATAAAAGAAAAGAAAAATGATTTTTTAAAAAAATATTGGTCTTGTTTTGGTTTTAGTGAGGATTAAGGAGTAATTAGTGAGATGGCTGAATCTACAAGAATATGAAGTGGCTAAACATCCGAGTTATAGATAGTTGCAGGTGACACCCTGGAATTTGTACGTGTGACCCACCACTCGCAATTGCATTTGGAAGAAGCAAAGCGATAATAACAACACCGAAAATGTTGGAAATGCGGAATACTGGGCAGTGTTTGCCAATCATCCCTTCACTGCTTTAAATAATCGGAAGGTCGCACAACCACCTTAATTACTTTTCACTTAATTGCGGGCCTGTTTCAATATTGCAAGTCTACAACCCCCATCGTTCAATTCATGTCTGTCGGTTTGGTTGTAGAAGCCGGGTTGAGAAGACGCCATATCGTGGAAGGGTGATATATTATTTTCATTTGTTTAAATTTTAATCGGAAATTTTACTTTCTGGAAAAGAAAAGGGAGGAGGGATTAATGAATTAAACAACGGGACAGACCAGAAGCGGGTTAGGAATAAAAGGAGGGCTTGTGATGGAAGGAAATAGAACGTGCGTGGCTTTGTTGGATGGATAAGGCATAAAGGGCTGACGCATTTTCTTTTGTCCGTAACGAACGTGGTTCTTATTCGACGCTTTGTCGGCATCCGCAAGTGCATCATATGACTCATGTTCCTCCGTTGCTTGCCTTCCTAAGTTACAACTTCGTGTTCTTGTTTTTCAAGTTACACCCTCATGGCCTCATCCATCTATCCATCCAACACTCCCCATAATTCCGTAAAACGCCACCTTTTCCATCCCAAATCCTCACTTCGTATTCAACGCCACCACGCATACCCTCTTCTCCCCATTCTTAATCATATCACTGCGTCAACAATTCGGTTGCTTTTATTTCACAAATAAGCACCATCAGCTGACTGCCTTTTTTTTTTTTTTTAAGTAATGCAGTGCCCTGAAGAATTCGTCAAAAGTTTTTTTTTTTTTGGTGTCTAGATTTCAATTTGGTATAATTATGAAAAAAATTAATTAATAAAATTGATTTTATTCAGAATTGTGGAGTAAAATTAAAAAAATTGAAATTGAAAATAAGATAGAACTACATTTATGTAAAAATATATTCAAAGTTTTTTTTTTTTGTCAGAAATATTTAAACAAGTTAAAATCAATTATAAATAAAAAACCATGTCTTCAAAAAAAAAATCAAACATTCCTTATACATGTCAAAATCAATTATAAACCTCAAATCATAGTTTTCTTAAAAATATCTAAACACTCCTTTAATGACAAAAAAATAAACCAAGGTGTAGAAAAGGAATACAAGAATGCTCCAGCCTATCCCTTAACCAATCTCTAGCAATCAAGCAACCAGTTTACAATAACTGACATTTGAGGAGTAGTTTTTATTTTTTATTTTTTAAATTCTATGGGCAACACAAGGACACTTGCACTTTTCACTTTTGAAATCAATGAATAAAGAATCACCTAATCAACTAACTGTATCTAAGCTACATCCATGCCCCCTCGTACTATACAATTGTCCTGACCATAAATAACGAATTATCATTTGTCTATTCAATGGAAACTGAGGGTGCTCGTGAGTAACAAGCGTGCTGGAAACAAGAGCACCACAAACAAATGCATGTGTTGGGATGCAACGAGCCTGCTGAACCTTTTCAATGACTCTCTCCCTGTTTTTAAGACGCCTGAGAAGGCTGACCCCTCTTCACTCACATTGATTGATACCACCGACCTCCTAACCACAGCCCCGGCATCACTCACATGGGGTGCCAGTGCCACCAGAGGCCACCAAATCTTCCGCCTGTGCTCTCTCCTCCTCCTTCGGATTCTGTTAAGCTCATGGCGAATCACACTTCTCACAGATTTCCAGTAGGAATTCATGTCATGATCCCTTTGTATAGTTCCACCCGAGCCATAAGCAGATCGGTCACTTAAGATCTCAAGTGGATGTGGTGAGTTCAAGAACACCAGCTGTGCAGCCAGGAGCTCCCTGTACATGTTATGATTGGACTCTGACGAAGGAACACTCAAAAGATATAGACCACAGCCTGCAGGAAGGAGGTCGTGTCCTGGGGAAAATTTCTCATCTGGCTGCAGAATTAGCAGTTCACCCATTGGTGCGTATAATACCTTCTGCAGTGAAAGATTCACAAAGTGATTTAGAGGATTAATGATATAATATTAATTTCTTTTTAAACCTGAAACTTTTATTCGAAACATTACCTGGCTATTAAGACAAGGGTGATTTCGGAAGTTTCCATTAACTGCCTTTAGCAGCTCTGCTACATGATTAGGATAATTGCAAGAAAAGGCTCGTGGTACAATGTCTCTGTGCATTGTAATTGCCTGAACATGATTCCGGGGCAATCCTAGCTTGTCAAGCAGTCTGTCGCCTCCACACATGATGGAAGGGGCACCAAAGGTTATGACAGGAAGCAGGGAGGAGACTGGCACTTCTTCTCTCATAAGCAGCATGAGATTTACGAGCAATGCCAAACTTCCCCCAAGGGAATGGCCAGTGAAACGGAAGGATGCACGAGAACCTTGAGATTTTAGGTGTGCATGAACATGAGGCAACATCTGTTTGTAGATTCCTTTGGCAGCCTCATATATACCTCTATGGACAAGAATATCCAGCCCCTAAAAAAATCACAAAATACATCTCGTTTTTACCAATTTTAAGAAAATTTCACGATTCTTATCAACAAAAAGTCGGAAAAATTAATCATTACCTCAAATTGAACAGGCTCAAAAAGCAGATTTGCTTGCCAGGATTCTAGGGACTCAGAACCCTGCACATTGAAATAATATTGTAGGAGAAAAGCACACCACCAAAAAAACAAAAAATCCAAGTTTGGCAAAATAATCTAATCACATGCAACTGTGAAACATCACATTACACAACTAGCTATCAGGAACTTGAGTATTTGTATTCTGATCATACTTAGGCGTTTGAGGTTTTACTGCTAACTTCAGCATTTTATAAATTATATTAATTAAAACAGAAGCACATAAAAAATTTATTTGAGCTACCTGAATGACAAAAAACCTAGCACCACTCTGGTCATCATCACATATGAACCATTCACAGGGTGATGAACTTGTTGAGTTCAAATCATCTGCAACAGCCTGCTTCACTTCCTCCTTCGCAGCAACTACTGCTGTCACCGAATCAGTAGTTGCCATCAAAGAAGCTACCTCTGTGTTTACCATGCTGACACCATCAACACTTTCACTGCTTGCTTCAAGTGAACCTTCACCAACCCCATCTTTTGAGGATTTAAATGGAACTACGCTCCTGGTCTGAGCATGGAGGTATGAGGCAGCCGAGGCAGCAACCTTATAAGCAGCCAATGCACTTATCTTGGGTCCGGTGTTCTTTTGTTCCTTGCTTTCTTCTCTTTCATGCTCGTTAGTTTCTACTTCCTGGGTTTCAGCTGACACCCGATTTTTTTCAGCCTTTGTGGCCGAGCGATCTTTTTTATCCAGTGATGAAGTTACAAAACGCAGTCCATAATGTTTCAAGAGGTTCCCTGGCTGAATCAACAAAGCCAACATATAAATCAATGACAGAGCTTTGTAAACATGTCTTTTGATTATACATTGCAAATGGAATTTTTTATACAAAAGATTATGAATCAAGCCCCATCTACTTGCTTACCTCAGAACTATATGAAAACGGCAAAACGTCAATCAGGTGACATAAGTTCCGAGTATCATATTTGTCCAAAAATACATCCACTAAAATATTTAAGATAAATTGCTCCATATCATTCTGAGTTATATGAGCAGAATTAGACATGACACGGGGGAAAAAAACAAGTATTCGGGGCTATACAATTTAAGCATGACATTCATATAAGTAGATATTCAAGCAATGCGATGGAAACAAATCATTCATATTTCAGAATAGTCGCATCCGCATGAAAAATTTCACGAGTTTCTCAAATTTCGAGAAGCCAGGCGAGATTTGACACCTCATAAACCCATTGAAAGAGTACTGCCCCATGTCCTGCCCTACATTGCCTTACCCAAGAAATATGGAATGTCCAGTCATTTCTCGTAGAGAAATCCTTGTCTCCACTAAAATATAAGGCGATTAGCCATGCAGAACAGAACATATGGTATTGACAAACTCCGATAAAAAACAAAAGAGCAAATATAAGATAAAAGAAAAACATCATACCTTGATCTGGGGTATACAGTATGCCAAGCTTCCCAAGTAGGCCATCTGCGCATACAATCTAGCTTCAGCTAACGATACCCTCCGAAGCATCCTTGAAAATGAATCCCTATCCAATGGAATCTCTTTATCACCATCATCAATCTTGCAAGCATCACATGGCTCCTCATTATCACAGTCAGGCCCCTTTATTTGATCGTTAGCCCCTCCCTCCTCTTCGATTTCCGCATCTTTATCACCACCGCTACGCATACCGTTACCCTGTTCACCCCTCCAGATAGATTTGACATGCAAAATCTTCAATACCCAGTTCCCATTCTGGCCCTCTGGAATTATTGTTCCGTTATCTCTGTCTTCTTGAACAGTTTTTTCTTCCCTGTCTTCCACCGATACGGCGTCGTCGATGGCTAACCCATTGTACCTGCTATTTCCACTTCCGCCGGGCCAGAGAGATCTCAAAGGGTATTTAAACGAGAATCTCGAAAAGACGGATTTCTGTGTCGATTCCTCCGTCGAGGACCGCCCAACCGCGCTTACCTGAGATGGGTTTGTCCGCGCATCCAAGGAGCCGCTAACCGAGATCGCTGGAGGTATCGCAGTTATACTACTTTTAAAACACAGGGCATCCATTCTAGCTTTATCTGGTTTGCCTCTGTTCCGGAAGTTCCTTTTTCGCTTTATGTAGAATGTTGAGAGAACGGTCAATTGCAGTGGACGATCCTATCAAATTATGGGCTATCAATAAACACCAGGACCCGTTTTTATTCCCAGAAAGTAGGCTTGACTTCGGTTACCTACTTCGTCTGCTTCGTTTGGTTCTGTATATTACAGAAGAAGAAAGAAGAATGAAACTAAACGAAGGGAAATGCGTCAGGCGAGGATTGAAAGGAGAGATGCGTAATTAGGGCGTTTATCAGGTCACCAACTTTCGTTTCCCTGTCATAAGGATTTTGTTCCTGCCTGATTTTTATATTTTTATTACTTATTACAAGTTTATTTTATAATTTTAAATTTTAATTTGATGAAAATTTTAGACTTAGAAATTCGAGTAACGACGTCGTTGGGGTCAAAAGAGAGATTTCGGTGTTTGGAATTTGCATTGAGTCTCACGTGGATAAAGGGCATTCTGTCGGTTAGTGCAACTTTGGTATTTCGTACGAAAGCGCGTGGACGGACCCACTCACCGATAGCCTGCCTCTGACAGTTGCCGAGTTTGTCAAGGATGTGCCACGTCAGAGAGTTAGACGACTACTGACGGGTCCCTGACCGCAAGCCCGAACCCTCGGTCTTCCTATCTTTCTGTACCTACTAGATGCTACATCACGCTCCCCGTTACCATTTGATCCACTCGCTACAGAAAAAGTTACATTTTTTTCGAATACACGGCAGAGGGGGAAAAACCGCATAAAAATATGAAGATCTTCAACGTCATGAGGTGTTAAAAAAAAGAAAAAAAGAAAATGTGTTAGATTGTAGGGGGTAACTCAAATAATAGATTATAAGAGTCAAGTTGTATTTAAAAAAAAAAGTTGACCTAAATAAAAATAAATATTTTTTAACCCGTATCAAATAATCTTTAAATTATATAAGCTAAATTTGATGGATTAAGTTAGCCCATTTTACTCATATGATTCAGAAAAGAAAAATAAAAGGAAAAGGGTTGGATCTTATGACTTTTGAGATTGATGGGGGCTTGGCTTGATTAGCTCAATTTATACATTTTGTATAAATTTTATGGTTTAATACTTTGGTGTGTCCAGCAATAATTTGAAAATCAGATTAAATTAGACGGTCAAATTGGTTCAACTATCAACCGGATTAACAAGTGGCTTGGCCTGATCGTTTAAGTCGTTTCATGGGTTGACTCATTTTTGAATCAGCTTTTGAATTAAAAATTGGATTGAACTGGAAACTAGGACGGGTTTTAAAAAACCGGTGTTAGACTTTTCAAAATACAGAATTTTTTTCTGCACCAAAAAGAGACCCTGAACAATAACCTAACATCTTGACGGTGGAGGAGGAGGACGCCAGTGGAGATGAAACAAATAAAAATTAAAGAGAAGAAAAAAAGTATATTAAGTGGACAACAAGAAGAAGATGACGATGATAATATTATGGAACCTAAGCTACATTCAAGAGAGACGAATTTGTTGTTACAGCTGTTTTTATTTTTAATTGAGAGAGGCGCTGTGGAAGAGGGAGGTGGGATTGAAACTAATGGAGAACCGAAGAAGATGAGAACAAGAGAGGGATACTTTTGATTTTTTAATGATAAGCAAATATCCATTGATTTTCTTTTGACTGAGCCAAAATCCTTCGAACCATTGGATAAAATGAAAGGAGAATGAGTAAGCACTTGTCAGAATATTAATATTAAATTTAAAATTTTAAAACTGATATGTGGGTATTGAATTTGATAACATTATACGTTAAAAAATTTTAATTTGATATTAATGTTTTCACGAGTCTTTACTTGTCCATTCTCCCTTACTCCTGAGATAAATGAGATGTCCTTAGGCAGCGTGCATATCTGTTCTTCGTTTGCCGCGTTTTTTTTTTCCCCCAACGTCCTGAACAAGAATTTGAAAAGAGAAACCTTTTTCAAATTTTGTCTTTAAAATAATATTTTATACTCTTTTTGTTAAAAAAATATAAAATATTTTTAATTAAATTTCATATTTTAATAAAATAATTATTTATTTTTAAATTAATTTTTTATTTTCATATTTATTCCTATTAAACATCCTATAATAAATATAGTCACTATTAATATATATATATATTTAAAAAAAATATAATGATTACACCTTAAAAGATTAAAAATATCTTATATTTTTTAACATTCAACTTCTTAAAAAATATCTTACATTTTTAAATGGAGTGAGTATACCTTAAACATAAAACTGATTAATAATAATTTAATTTAATAAGGGAAAAGAAAGTCATATTTAAATTTATTTTTAAGTTATCAAAAAATTTGACATTTTATTTAAAATACATAAATTATTATTTATATATAATATTATTTTTATTTAATTATTACATTATGGATTCAACCAATGAACTAATCAATTAAATCATACAAATAATGAACCACTAAAAATTCTAGTTTGATATTTGTCTGGTTGTTAAAATATTGGCATCAAAAATAAATTATGAAAATAAATTTAAAAATACAAATGGGTTGACGGATTGATCATTTAAGCTGTCAACCTTCAAAGGTTGAGTTGAATGGTGCCTTTTTTAAGGAAAAATTAGTTAAGGACCACATTTAAAAAAATTTTAAAATTTCAGTTCAGTCTAAAGTAAAAAAGTCAAAAGAATTTTAAGAGTAAGAAGACCAAAATGCCCTTTACATGTTATGCATAATTTACTAGTTGTTAATTTTCTAATTCAACTTATTTATTTATAAATATGAGTTATAAATTACATGAGTTAATATGTGTCTCACTCGGATCATGATCTCCTTGGAGTGGGAAATCAATAAATGTAGAAATTGCCACTAAAATTTTAAAAAGATAATTTTAAAAATCTCTTAAAAAATAAAAATAGTTTATAATAATTATAATAGAATTCAGGAGTAGATTATGCGTGGGAAAGGTGTTAAACACCTCACATCACCTATCCATGAAAACGGTTACCTTAAGTTGACTAAATAAATTTAACATGGCCTTAAAAGAAATTTAATTACCTTTAATAAAACAAAAAAAAGAAAAGAATAAGAAAAATTAAAAAATATTTATTTGTAAGTTGAACTTTATTCAGGATAAAATTTTAAGGCCTATTTATCATTTAGAGGGATCAAAGACCATATAATTTGGTGGTAAAAATACGTGTTAATTTGTTTCCATTTTTTAGAAAAGGAATTTTTTATTTTTTAAAAAATTAATCAAATTTATATATTTTAATTTATACTTATTTGAGAAAGGAGTTCTTCTTGAAAAAAATATTGAAATTCATGTGGAGATTCAAAATATCTCATAGAAAAATTAATTTATTTTATACTTGCAAATATTCAAAAATCTCACATGACATAGAAACCATTTTCCAATCTATTCATTTATGACAAAAAATTTATTCTTAAAAAAAGATTTCTAAACAAATCAATTGAACATAATGATTGGTGTGCTTGTAGTAGCATATTGTCACACACGGCATGCCAATCGACTAGTTACCTATAAATATTTTAAAAATGTCACACGATATGATTAGGAGAGAAAACACATGAGAGTTTCAAATCAAGTATTAGAGTGGTGTGTATTAGAGGAATATACAATAACATGAGTAGTTCCAAAAAAAAGTAAGGAATCAAAACTTTGAAACTTTACCACTTATAACAATTTAGATAATTATTTCAATCTCCATCTCATATGCAATAAGTAAAAGAAATGAATGGTCAAAATATGTGTTTGAGTTTGTATGGGTGCACATTTAAAAAAACCACACGTAATTCCTATCCTTCCACTTTGTACAAATGAAGGGATGCACTTGGGACGAAAATTAATTTAAACCTTTTGGTTGAATCTGATTGTGAGGCAGGAAAAAAAAAGTGATGAAAAAAGGGAGAAAAAAAAGTAAAGGAAGCAAAAATGATAGAGGTGATATTGAATTAAAACACGAAATGGGAGGGGAACACAAGGCACGCTAGCAAACATATATACACATACAGAGAGGCGCATATGCACACGGGACACTAATACAGTGAATCAACACAAGAACTTTCAAAAAGGAAAAGAAGAAAAAGAATCATTATTAATCATACGCCTCAAGCCTTCGAGATCACATATGATCCTAAGTATGAGAGCATCGGCCTTTCCTTAGAAGAAGAAAGTGATCTCATCCCATTTGAGATCTCATCCCATATTATAATATAATATGTCCCGATGCGTTATCTTTTGGGGCCAATAATATGTGTCATTGTTTGCTGCTTTGCTTGCATACTCAGGAGACACGATTCATTATCCGTTTCACATTGAGCTCCCGTCCCCTGCTTTTGATTATCAACTATCTGCGGGAGCCATTAGGTGTTGTCGGAATTTGGATCTTTCCAAACATGTCCTTTTAGACATTAATTTTCTCTTTCCGCTACTTCTTCTACATTGCCTTTATTAAACTTATTTAAACTTAAATATATTCATTTATTTCAAAATTTATTTAAATTACAATTAAATAAGTTTTGAATGTTGATTAATAGAATTTCGTTATTATTCAAAATAATAATAATAAGACATCCCATTATCAATAACGTTGTAGTTAGAGGTGAAAATAAGCCATATCCCTACTACACTTCAACCTACTTTAGGTTCAATTTAACATATTTACTAAATAAGCTTAAGTTAGATTTATGCATTTAATTAATCCCATTTAATTAAATAAGTCAGGCCTAATTTTTTAAGTTCTATTCTACAAACTTAACAGGCCGAACTATTTATATATATATCTACACATATGTTATATATCACACATACATTAATTTTACTATTTAATTTTTAATCAATCTATTTTTCAAATTTTAGTTATGTTTTTAATTAGATTAAACTTATATATTAATTTTAATATTATTATTTTATTATTGTATTGTAATTGATAAATATTTTTAATTATTATATATTATAATTGATAAATTATGTTATAAGTTTATATTAATAGTCCTAAAGTATATTTAAAACATTTAAAAATAAAATGTGAGCTTATTTAAAGAGCTTATTTTTAAGTAGGCTCTTAAATAAACTTTCAGGTTAGGCCAAGCTTTAGATAGATTCAAGTTTGAGCCGTGAAAAAAACCTTATATGAATTTCAGGTCAAACTCAAACCTTAAACTTATCACACAAGCTCAAATCTATTTGATCAAAGTCTAGCTCAACCTAACTTATTTTTACTTTAGTTGTAGTCTTGAAGAGAGACTTCACGTCCCCAGCTTGAAGTCCAGATGGAAAACAGGCTCAATCTTCAATCCATCTCTATCTTGGGGTGTGTACTTTCTAGATGTTCATGCTAAATTATACGCAGAGTGGCCAATGTTTAGTTATCATCACGAATATCCAGTAAGAACAATCAAATTCGTGGCTTTTGATCTTTACTGTTTCACTCACCATAAGATAGGGCCTTCACAAGCAGCAATTTCTAAGAGGAACTCCCTACCTCTTCTAGGCTTAAACGACAATTTCAACCCTAACAACAAAGGCTAAGGATCCATGGTTTGTTTCGGATCGGGTTGGACTTTCCTTTTATCTTGACAAAAAATAGCACGCCTAAAAGGGCCGTGTGATCCACGAGATTACAACACGAACATTTATATGACAGAAAACCATCACCCACGCGTCAACTAACCAGAGAAAGAAGCCCCAGCTAACATTTCTCGTAACTACCTTTCTTTTGGACGAATTTCCCGTAACTACCTAAAAGCATGTATCATGTATCCTAACCAAGAATTGCTTTCATCTTCGTTTTCTGCTCCTCCGTAAGTGACGTGGGGAACAAAACCTCAAAAGTTACGGAAAGGTCCCCTTTCTTCGTGCTCATATGGAACGGCATGCCCTCTTCTTTGAACTTCCTCACTTCCTTTGGGTTCGTGATTTTCTGCATAGTTAAAACAGTCTGTCAGATGTGTGCTAGCTTAATTCCTTTCTAAAACCAATTGACAGACGGGATGAATATCACCTTCGAACTGATGTCCACCATATGCTCATCCAGGTGTTTAATGGTCTTCTCAAAACCTACAAGAGCTTGAACCTGAAAGAAATAGAACATATAAAGGCTTAACTTTGAGGTTTTCAGTTCAAATGCTGATACCAACAAGTAGAAGCCAAGAATATATATATATATATATATAAAACGCGAAGAGAATTTAAGGAAACTAATAAAATAGATGGGCACAGTTATACAAAATGTCTTCATTAGCGACAAATTCTAGCAACTGGTAGGCTTGTCCCCCTCTTTGGACTGAACAAGCATTTAGTAGTTTAAATGTTTAATACACATATCAACAACTGAAAAATACTTACCAGGTTTATAGTAACAGTGGCGTGCAAGTCATTCCCTTCCCTTCTGAAGACATCATGGGGTGCTGTACGGATGCGGAACTATCCAAGTTCCAAAATATAGTATTCAATATCAAGAACACAAATATATATGACAGACGATATATAAATACAAAAGCAGTAGTTACAAACTCTTAAATCTCCACATTCGCCATCAATCATCGGCTCTCCATCTTCATAAAATAACACTTCCTGTGTAAGGATAAAAACTTGTAACTCTACATGTCAATGATACATCATCAACAGAGAAAAACATAAGTGAGTGTTAAGCCGTTCAATATTCCAATTTCCAAGTACCTTGAAAGGCTACAAACAAAGGTCCCCTCCCCACTCTTTGGCAAACGCTATTTCTCTCACTATCCATTTGCTGTCAACATAAAATCTAAGGCCCAATAGTCAGATGAAACAAACCCAGTCAATAGAATCCAACTCGCCAGCAAATTATTATAGCAACCAGCTCCATCATCTCTTGTTCTCGGTTCTTCAAATTTTTCAGGAAAATTCATCACTCATTCATTCTGAGAATGAATTTGACGAAGGATGGAAAAAGAACAATGGGAGTGACATGATCAATGAAGTGGGTACTTGAGGTGAGCATGAGCCGTACTTTTACTAACTGACCCAATATTTGCTGGCCATTAGGGTTTTTCATAGATTTTGATGGTGAAATAAAATAACAAATTTGTTTATCCCCTTTTTCTTCCTCATTCTCCCTCCATCTCTTTGTTTTTCCCTATTTCTCCCTCATCTCCCTTTTCCCTTTTAATTTTATCTACTTCTCCACTCTTTCCCAATGGTTCTACATTACAAAATCTTTTTATTTGTTGGGGTAACTACAGTACTGCACCCAACCTGAACATACTTTCTTCAATTTTTCCAATAGTTCTGGATACCCTTTCGAGTTGACATTAAAAGCTACAATATAGCGACAAATTCTCCTGAAATTGAACTCAGATCAATAATGGCATAAAGTACTTGTATGTCTGCAAATGAGTCGAATATTTTCTCTCAGTACAGTGGTATGTTTAAAATCTGGAAATCAAGATTGACTGAATTTTCCATTCCAATCAAAAGTAAGAAGTTAAGGACCAAAAATTGGCAAAAAACAGCCTATACTTTAACCATTAACTGATGTTAATTAAAATATGTACTGGAGTTATAAGTACTTAATGAAAAACAAAATAATCAGTTTAAGGACACAAACTAATATTGGTTTACAATTAAGATTCTTTTTGCAGTTTCAATCATCACCCAATCAGAGCATTAGTGTCTTTAAAAGCTTTCTCATAGCGGAGAGCATATGTGCGAACAGCTTGTAAGAGGTAATGATTTAATACTAAAGATAACAGCTTTAAAAGTTTACCTGCCCATCTTGCATGCCTTTCTCAATATCAACAGTGATGAAATACCCCTCCCTTTCATACTTGACATTAGGACATTGCTCACAGACCTGTAAAAGTAAATTCAGAATGATAAGTGAAAATCTCCACTTATTTTAACCACTTGAACAAAATAAACCTGCAACACCCTTAAAAAAAAAAATTCCACAAGGTGATGACACAAGAATTTGCAACTCTGTATTATAAATCAAATATTAAAACCTAAAATGATAAGTTCTATCAACATTTCTAGAGAGGCTGTTCACCTGCTCTGTCATCTGTTGAAACATTCCAGGACCAATTTGCTTGTGGTAAACCTCATTTCTACAGTTACAACGCCTCTTCCCAGGTGCTGGCTTTAAAACATTCTTTTCTCTCCAAGCCTGATAAGTACAATGAAAAAATACAGAGTGAAGCAATCGCGTAAAACCTCAGAACTTCTAAACTTCGTGTGCCAAGACTAGAGCACAGTGAGTCAGTGAGTTAGCACCTAAACTGAATATCACTATGATTCTTGGCTATGGTGTGCTTCAAAATAAATGTATACAATGATATCATACAGTTTGGGACATAGAACAGAAAAAGCAAATACAGAACGTGCTCCAGGAAAATCAAATCTAAGATGATGTGTGGAATATCCGAATTAGAATTTAGATAACTGAGCCTTGTGAGTAAACAAGGGTTTAAAAATAGCAGCTACTAATTAAGTTCTGCTGTTATTATGCTAATTTAGCCTCCTAAAATAGTACGCATTATCATTTATATGAGAACCAATTTGATAATTTCAAATTTGATTGCATCCAAATTCCAGCTATATGATGTTCTGAAATATAAATATGGTAACATTTGCGTATCAGCAGAGCCCTGCCCCTGCATCAGTGCCGAATGGATCTCATCAATAGATAGAAGGTTCTATTCCATTTTACAAGAACAGTTGCTGCGCATGCCCGTACCTTCAAGGAACCTCCCATGTACAAATCTTCCAGGGTTGCATCCAATTCAACAATGACATCATCACCTTTTACAATTCTCTCTTCCTCCTCCATTGAACCTCCACCAAAGAAACTGAAAGAAGCAATCTAACTTGTGAAACAAACCACATATTACACGCATAGAAGTATATCAGAAACAAAATAAGTACTATTGCCCACAAGGTCAACCAACGGTTGGATGAGTATATATGGAAAACAGTTAGAAAATTAGAGTATTTATGTGCCTCACTCTGCTCAGGTTTCATGCATGTGCACATTCTGTGATGCTGATGCAAGAAGAAATTAGGCATAAAATTTTGTAAATACTTTTTCAAATATTCACGAAGATATCACGTAATCAAATAGCCTTTTTAATTCACCATGCCCCAACAGGTTTGATGACCTTGCATATATAGGACTTACGTGCTGAAAATGTCTTGGAAGTGCATTCCCATTCCGCCACCGCCTCGGCCCCCACTAGCAGCATGCTGTTTCAAACCCTCTTCACCGTACCTGTCATAAATACTTCTCTTCTCGCTATCCGACAATACTTCATACGCTAATGCATAAACAGTCAGAGAAAAAAAATTAGAACCAAAACAAAAACATATTTAACTGCCCGATACGAATCAACCAATCCACATATACCATTGTTGATCTCAGCAAATCTCTTATTAGCTTCTTCGTTGCCCTGATTCTTATCGGGATGATACTTCAACGCCAGCTTCCTGTAAGCCCTCTTTATCTGCTCGTCGGAAGCACCCTTCGACACTTGAAGTACATCGTAGTAGCTCTTTCTGCAACCGGTCGAATAAGCAAAGGAGTAGTGCCAAATGTATGCATTGTTGATGGGAGAAAACAGAAAGAATACCCGGCAATGACGTTTACAGTATAGCACAGAACACATAACAAGAACAGAAGCTTTTCTCTTCGAAGCGCCATGAATGTTAAGAGAGGTATGGTTATGGCGAGAGAGTTAGATCTCTCGAAATGCAAATTTAATGCCCTAGAATGAGATCTCGATTCAAAGTCGAAGCATCAAGAATTCAAAATACGGAATTAGGTTTTTCAAAGAGGAGTCAAATGAAGAAAGCCTTGGATTATTGAATCAAGCCCGAATTCTGTTCCTTCCTCTCCTCCCTTGTTATTTGGCTGTCTTGGGTTCCTTCTCTACTGGTTTTACAGTTTCCCTGAGCGACTCCTGATTCTGAAAGTGATTCGGACGATCTTACACGGCAGCGGCATGCTCCACTAGACTCTGCAACGTGTTTCGTTTCATGAAGAACTTGTCCAATCTCGCCAGCCAGTGGTTGATTGAGCCAATTATATCACTACGCGTGGATATTTCCTTGCTTTCCTGGCTTATAGAAAATAATTAAATTAAAATTAAATAATTTACCCAAATTTATCAGCCGTAATGAATTCAAACTCAATCATAATCATTTTTCTCAATTCCCCTCCTACCGTAAATATATTTATTAATATATAATTTATTAATACCATACACATTGTTAAAAAAAGTTTACTTCATAACTTCTGCAAAGCGACTTCTAAATACAATAATACAAATATTATCAAAAAATCATAAAAATATTATAAAACATAATTTATAAGTAAAACCAAAAGAATCCATTTGTTAAATCTTAAATGATTTATCTTGTCAAAACAAATTAAATGATATATAAAGTAGGGGTGAGCAGACAATCTGCAACCCGTTAAACCCGCCCATACCCAAATAAGACAAGCGGGTTTTCACCTGCCCATTTAGTTAAAAAAACAATCGAATTATTTTTACAAGCTAGCCCGAATTTAGTTTAAACAAGCAAGATAGACTACAAGTTACCCCTTGAACAACTTATCCTATCCTATTTACAAGTAAGTAGATAACTATATTAAATAAAATTTGCAATGATGCATTTTGTCTCCTTCCCTTGAGAATGAAAGGCCAAAGTCCAAAACCCTCATTCCATAATCCAATCGCTCTCACTCTCGTTTGTCTCTGACTCATTGTCACAGCTACTCACCCTCGTCCAATTGTCTCCCCTTACTAGTTATCATTGTTGTCCCTCATCTCTCTGAGTCTCTGAGACTCTAATTATCACATCAATCCTCTTGCTTCTTCTCTTCAGATTGAAAAACCTTGCCGACCGTCGTCTCTACACCTCCCTTAACCCTCGTCATTGTCATCCCTCAACAGCTAACGACTTAAGAGTAGTGGCATTAGATTTGAAGTCACAGGGATATCATCATTGTTGATGTTAGTTATCTTCTCGTCACTACCTACTTTCAACCTCTTAATCTTGACATTTGTATCTCATCCCTTTTCAATAACAGCTTCCCTCATCTTGTCTCCCTCATCTCTCAAACTCATGATGTTGAACTTTAAAGCTACTCACCTGTTCTTCTTCGTATCTCGCTTTAGTCCAGATATTCAACAGTGGCACGAGCATGATCTGAACTTGAAAACTATTATGATATTTTTTTTGTTTGATTTACCTCTATTATAGTCTTTTAAATCTAAACTTGTAGGTTTGCTATCCTTCTTCTCAATCTAGGTGCTTTGATCTTGTTACATGTTTGGTCTGCACTTTGCTACTCAAATTTCTGATTGTCTTCCATTTATTTGAAGCTTTATCTCCATTTGGATCATTTTAATTTCTGACTCATTTTCATTTGTAATGATTTCTAATGCAGTAAAAAAGTTCAAATTTAATATTATTGTTGATCCTGGACAAAGAAACTTTCACACTATGTATATGAACCGTTTCCCCTTCTCAAATCTAGTATAATGCTTAGAATTTTTCAACTTTTGTCTTTATTATCCACATGGACATTCATAAGAAAAAACGGGCTAGACAAGCACGTATTTACCCACCATGGCTAGACTATCTCATTTGAGAATAGGTTTAAACAGGTTAAGCACAGGCTAGCCCAGCTAGATAAAATGAGGCAGGCTACAAGCTCCCCGTCGAGCTAACCCACCCCACTCGTTGCTCAGCCTTAACATAAAGATGCATATTTAAGAATTTTTATCATACAAAGACACACATTTAAAAATTTTTACTCCTTTTATTTTTTTTTAATGGAAGAATTGAAAATGAAAGCTCATGTCCTTAGAGGTATGATAATAGAAATATGATATCTCTTCCAACTAATTTTAACATAGGTTTAAATGATAATTTGAACCCTAAATTATATATCCAAAGGTGATTTAAATATTAAACTCATTTTTTATACATTCTGACTCTTACATAATTACACCCATAACAATCCCCCTTATTGTTAATTAAGCAACTGGCTGTTACTTTTTGATTGGCGGGGCCCATAAATGCATTACTCTAACTCTCTTCACCTTTCTCTCTTATACTCTCTAACTCTCTCTCTCTCTCTCTCTCCTTCCCTCTTTTCTCACTCCTTCACCTTATACTAGAACTAATCCACAAAATGGAAATATTATATTTTTCAGAGTCAACAAAGAATTCAAACCAAAACCACTTCACATAACAAAAGTAGGGGAAACCCAACCAAGTCTACAAGCCAACAACTCAATCAAAAAGTCAAGGAAAAACAAAAGAAAAGGAAAAATATTAAAGAAGAAAAGGGAAACAAAAATGAGGAAGCAATTATCCTATTGGAGGATTATGATTATACCTTAAATCCCACTAAAATAGCTCTCCTCTCAGATCATGTGATACATGCTGCCACTCCCTTCATTATATTAAGTATTATGTCAACGTAAGCCTTCTTCAATGCCATCAAGACACAACTTCCAAAGCTTGCCAGATAACTTGAATGGTGCCCAAAATAGTTAATTTACAAATAATTCCCAAGGGTATACATTAATAATCCAATTTGAGCAGTTTCCAACATTCAACTCCACAATCTCTCTTTCATCGAAATTACAAAACCACTCCCAATAATACTTAATGGATTTACTAGGTCCTAACAAGTCATATTATCATTAACAAGCCATTGAACCACCATTAATGACTATTAAACACTCCCAACAACTATATTTATTACCATTTTTGAGTATTAATGGTTCTAGAATAAGTGACACATATATACATCTTTACACTTGTGCTTATTATGACCATTGTTTTTACACATTGAATCTCATATAAGATCCAACCATAGAGAGCTTCTTAGTTGTTGGTGAACGCAAGTCACTTACACTTATCTGACTCAATCTATGTTAAGTATTTCCTTCCTTTGACCCTTTTTTCTTTCAATTGCTAGCCTCCCCTGCCCTTATCCTATGCTTCTTTGGTCTCCTTAGTAGCTTGGTAATAGGTGGTGGCTCCTTACTCTATAAGTTTAAAGTGTTCTAAAATCTCTTACCTCTAACAAATTGCAATTTCTCCCTATAACTAGTCAAGTACAAGGTCTTATGATACATGGCCTATTACAGGTCTTATGATTCAAAAATACAATGTGCCTATCTAGACCTTCGATTACATCATAACCATTATCTCCATTGAAAAATATTGTGTAACTCATAGCTAAGAACATATTGCTCTTAAACAATTCTACAAACACATTTTGGATTTTCTTTCCACTTCTTTACATTTTTTTCAATCTCTGCCTACTTACTTATTATATTTACTCGAACCCCATCAAAAACATTTTTATTATTGGCAAATATATAAAATCATCGATCCTTACATTCAGAGATTCACTAGAGTTGTTGTCAACAATCCATGTTAAACTCTTTATAGTAAAATATGCTCTTACCCATGTTTGAGGGGGTTGTGATATCGCTGCCTTAGCTGCTTGCTTGCTCAATCTACTAAGAGCCTTCATATTATCCTTGAATTGTTCTTCAAAAGTGCTCTAAGCACATACAGAGATTTTTTTTCTCAACTTCTTCTTCCCTTAATCTCCTACTCCAATATGCATATAAATGGCATGCACAGAGTCTTTATTCAGCATTTGGAAGCACTTCAATTATAGCAAAGTTCAATCTTTGTAAATGAGCAATAGAGATATTTATCATATCAAATAAATCATAAGTACAAAAAAATGCAAGATTCAATTATACCTTATGCATATTAGACATGAGAGTGACATTATCTCAATTTCCTAGATCCTAATATTTTTGTAACCATTACAAAAATCATTTCCAATTAACTTTGTTCTCCTTTTGAGTGAGAGTAAGTGCTAATGGAAACAAAGAGTCATCAACATCAAGACTGATTGCTGATAATAAAATGCCTTTTGCATGCCCCTTCAAGAAGGTCCTATTGAGACTAGTAAACCTCCTACAACCACTTTTCCAACCAACTTATTAGAAAAAAGAAATCAATTTTAAGTACCATGGTATTGCAAACAAGTAAGCAACTCAAATGGGAAAACCTAAAATTACCCTACATTATATACATCTTATTAAACACTAGTTCACCATGCTTTAATGCATCCCTACTCAGCTCCATATTCATGTCAGATCCATGATTGGAAGTCCTCAACTCAAAGACATAATATCTTAAGTTGGCAAATTCATCTTTATAGCTCCCTCTATTTCTTCCATAATCAATCTCTTTACCCTTTTACGCTTGTGAATGCTTACATGTAACGTCAACTCATCTACAGTGTCCTAATTTATGTCACTAATATTGTATTACGGCCTCTTTTACACGTTGGTTATAAAGTACCCAACTAACCACTTTATAGATGCCTTATTATTCTTGTATACTTTAAGACATTTGTGCTTATAACATAAGGTCCTTAGAAACGTATAACCCAAAGAGGTAGGTTTTCTCACACCTAGCTTTCACTTTTTAGGGTTCACTCTTAATACAAATAAGTTTAACTTCCGGTTGTATAGCATACCTATCTATGGTACTCAACACCTCCTCCTTATTAGCAAATGCCATGCCCAACATGACAAATGACTAAGTTTGGTCCATAAAAGTCGCTAGGCCTTTTCTCCTCTTTTAATGGGCCACCACTATTAACATCTAGGCCTAATTTTTCACTATCTAGGTCATCCCCATCTTTAAGGTCTCTACTACATTTACTAAATCCATTATCCACTCTAATGAAGTCCTTAACTTAAGAATCCTTACTCTAACTTTTAGTGTCTTTACCATCACTTTTAATTCTTCACTGTCAGTCTCCTCATTTAAACTTAAGCCATCATTTACAGCATTGTCGTGATCAATATATTAACAACATCACTCTCAATCACTTTTACCCTATATTCTCACCTCACATTGATGTAAGCCAACTACCAGTAATACAAAAATTGTCTTTTAGAGCATGTCTTTTGAAGTGCTTTTAAA